AGGGATCTGCGTGTCTTCGCACAACTCAGTGACCAGTGTGGTGGTGGAGGGCGATCATGCTCCACAGCAGATGGATTGCGAGCGTATTTATTGCTCTTGATGCAGACTGACAGGATGGAGTGCGATTGGCAATGTTCAGCATTGTAAGTGGGTGAGGGAAAGGGGGAGTTTGAGTTCCAGTTTGAAGAGCACACCACGTGCCAGGAGGAGGCAACAATGCTACTGAAATGCTCAATGTGAAAGTTGGTGGCTGAGGGAGCATAGCGTTGTGACGAATGGTGAAATGGACGTGTCCACGCGGTGGTACGGCGACGCCTCTACGTGTAGAAAGGAATCATTGAGTCAAAAATAAAAGCAGTTTGTGTGCGTGACTGTTAGTAGTTCACTTAATTGTTGCGTCAATTTGGGGTCCGTCAGTCGAGCAGTTGAATGCACGAGGAATTGCAGGCGTAGTTGGAGTGGAGAGTGAAGGTGGAGAAGCGCCTACTGCACTAGACCACGCGAAGTTGATAGGCGTCTGCTTGGAGAGCCAAACTTTGTTTTGAAGGTAGGTGAGGAGTGCATTGAGTTGGCAGCGCCTGTCACACCCATCTTCGCTGCCCATCGAATGCTTCAGGGTCGATCGAGGCATAATCAGGAGATGTCTCGACTTTTAGCCAAAACAGGACAATTTTAGTGTCTCTGTGTTGCAGGAGTAGATGTGATCCAATCAGGTGATGGACATTTGTGCGATGGGGGACGTCTACTGCAGTGCGACGAGTGGTTTGAGGCCTATCCAGCTGCTCTAGGCAATGTGAAATGCGTAGCAGCACATTCGCTTTGTGTGGAAGGGAAGGTGTTTGGGCTTGCTAGGCACAAATAAGCCAAGTGAGGTGCCAAGCGTGAGTGAGGAGAAGGGTGTCACTAGTATCAACGTCGCGGCGCGTTGTGCGTGTCAGTAGACACTGACGCCAGTGCCATTGCGCATGGAGCACTCGACTGGCAGGTTATCGGTGCAAGAAAGTCGCAAGTGGTGAGTGAGACGGATGTTTGAGTGGGTGAGAGGGGGTGACAATGTGAGTAGACTGAATCACTCACACCCAACCCTGGCACCAATGTGTCACACACCTTGCCACGATGCGACGGAGGGGGAGGGGAGGGGGGAGCGGTAATCCACGCAAGAGACTTGTTTGTCTGGCTGCTAATGGTCAGAGCACAAACAATCACTGAGGCAGTATGTGGACGGTGTTTGGTGGAAGTCTTGTGGTGAGAAGTGGGCTTGTAGGGTTGATTGTGGTCTTCATTCAGACATCACTGGGAGAACCTGATTGACAGTCCACTTGGTGCTGATGCACACGGCGCATTCGCCACACAAATGCAACAAGGAGCACACATGCATCAGACTTCCAACATTTTGATGCTGCATATTGTTGTTAGTCCTGTGGTCTACGTCTCCCGCCGCCGAATCTCAGCGGAGTCTAGAAGGCTACACAGTAAACAGAATAAAGTGCAATTGCTGGTTACGGATGCTTACCGACGGAGAATGGTGGTCAAATTAGTTGGTGTGTGATGTCGATGACGTTCAGGTGGTTGAAGGTGGTGTTGAGCGAATGAGAGGAAGTGGGATGAGGTGAGAGAGAGAGGTCGGGTTATGGTGAAGTGGAGATTGTATAGGGAGCCGAGTGGACCGCAGAAATTCTTTTATTGTTTCCTTTTTTGGCCCTCCTGATTTAATCACTTTTGAACTTCATATTCGACCTTCTCATTTATTATTTTTTTTTCTATTTCGTCCTGTATTTTCCAGCATTCTAATGCCTGATTGCTGAAGTAATCGAGAACATCTTTGGAAATACTTCGACCTTATTTTTGAAATTTGGGATTTGTGGCTTTGTGAAATTTGCTTTTTTAGTATTATCTACTAATATAGTCTCGGAAAAAAACATAATTTCTGATAATGCGTGGGAATCATTATGGCACCTAGACCTAGTATCTTAGTTGCCTTCGGTTTCCGTCCTGCTACGTTTACACTGTCTAGCTCGTTAGCTTGGTAGCTAGCGTTTCAGCTAGCGAATTCGCAACACACGCATACACGGGCGCACACTCTCGTGCGCGTCGCAGGCTAAAATAGCGCTGCGTCCCAGCGCCACATCGCAAAACACACCAACCACCGCAAGATCGATAGTTGCCTTCAGATAACCAATCAGAATGGGCCCTGTTTGCCATTGGCTCTGCTTGAACGCGCGCGCGCCTGACGGCTCATATAAACGCGCAAGCGGACACGCGCCACATGGCAAAAGCTCGAGTTCGTTGGGGGTGCTCCTCTTCTTCCCCTCTTTAAGGTGGTCCCTGGTTATTTTGGCTATTATCACTCGCGCCGTAGACGCATTTTTCGGCGGAACTTGTATGGGAAATGTAAGGTGGATATAACGGTTTTCCTCTGTTGCTGTTCCTGCTTGCATTATGCGACGTCGCAAATCGGCTAAATCTGGATCCTTCTTTTCCATCGCTTCTACCAAATGCCTTTCATATGTGCACTCCCCTACATTCCTCCTCGTGTGTCTATGCTGTGGCGCATACCTTATTCTTCCTTCTATGGCGCAAGAAGTTGTTAGCGACTGTGTCATTCATAGACCATCATCTGCCAAAGGAAATTATACACCTCCAGCTGTAATTCGCAAGGCTTTCGGCCGAATTAAACAGCGCTGTGATTTGGCCAACCGTGATAGGGAAATTAGAGCTGCGAACGTCACGAATCCTGGCTACTTGAAAGGTCGCATTCCTATTGTGAAGTTTGGTGTTCAGCTGGCAACAGATGGACGTGACTCGATCGCACAAATGCTTCCAGCCATTGACTTAGCCATTGAAAAGGTGTCAACTATGCCCGCTTACCGAGGAGTGGTTTTCCGTGTCGTTCCAATTCTGTACTTTGATTGGCTGGCCTGCGACTCATTGGCCATTTTAGAGAAGTTTAATCGACGAGAGGTTAATGTCATATTCGGGCCCATCAACGACTTCGTTCTTGGTGCAGCTGCTCGCTTTTCAACGGCCCTCTACCTCGTACCCATTGTTTCTCCTGCTGCATCCTCTGTCCAGCTTGCTGATAAGAATGAGTTTGGGATGCTAACTCGGATGTACTTCACTTATGCCGATCTGGAGTGGGTTATCGCCTCCACGCTCATCCACTTCGGTTGGAAGCCGAAACTTAGTACACCGATTGCGATGATTACAGTTCAGCCCATAACCATTTCGGATGCGTTTAATGCTGGCTGGGATTCCTTTTTCCAGCAACAGGCCATCTCAACAGTGCTCGTCAATTACAAGCATCACCGGTATCATGTTGAGCGTGGGGCTGACGAAATCAAAAACATTTTTAAGGAACTACCCAAAGTCGCACGAAGTAAGCTCAACCAAATCTTTGTATACTTATCACTTGTCCCCTCCCCTATTGATCATGCCGCTTCTGCGCAACCTTCACACCAACCAATCACGCTTTAGTACGTCCGACCTTGATTACTCCTCTGCGATCGATAAGCCAATGTCGTGATGCTGTAGATTTTGGCGAAGTGGAGTGAGGTAGCTTGGCCGTTTTGTCGCTTTCTTTGTTTTAGTAAGACATTCAGTTAGGAGAGGGGGGTCTGCTGCTAATTTGAGTCACCCCAAAAGCTGCCCTGGAGGTTTGATGATGCTTTTTGCCAGCGAAATTCCCACCATCTTACCTTATATGGTACCTTTTTTTCATTACTTTCTCCCAATTCACAATGGCAGAAGAGGGATGATTAATGGTGGAGGCTGACTGTTGATGCGTGAATAATTAGAAGAGGTGATAATATTCGTTTACTCATCGGGAAACGTGGCGCTGGAAAGCATCTGGACTAGGCATTCATCCTTGCATTTTGGTTGTCAAGTGGATGAAGGGGGAGTTTCTCCACATTTATAATCCACAATATCATCAGAATAG